GCCGGAGCTGGCGGGTCACCAGTTCGCGTCGCGCGGGGCCCTGTTGATCCGTCCCGCTTGATGGGAAAAGCGCCTGCAGCCTGGGAACTTCCCGGGAGCCTGTGGGAAAGTTTGAGACGAGAATACAAAAGGAAAAGAAGCTAAAACTTTACATTTAATTTAAAAACTAAATGTTTGAGATTTCAACTTTAAGTCATATAACTGACATCGTGTGTGGGGGGAGGCATTCCGTGTAAATAACAGTATCGCGAGCCCACTAGCCTGGAGCTGTGAGGACACCCGGCTGGTCAGGAAGGACCCCTACAGACTGGATGGACCCCCCGGAGGCCCCGGGCAAGGAGGAGAAGGTAGTGACCACCTGTCCCTCCCTCCCCAAACAGCCGCCCCCCTCCACACCCCCCACTCGCCTTGTCAGCTAAGCTCTGCGCCTTCTAAAGCATGAACGAGGGGAGGGATGGTTCTGGGGCGGCTGAATTTAGGGGTTTATAGGACTGGGCCGTGTCCTCGCTGCTGCTCAGTGGTGGCCGGGCCTGTGTCTCCTGCCTCCTGCCGTGGGAGGCGGGTGGAGCCAGCCCGGAGCTTTCCCAAGCGGGGGCTGAGGCGCTGTTTCCTGCCGCGGATACGGGTGCGACGCGGGTAAACGTAAGTCTCCCCGGGCGCCTTCTTAGCGACCTCCTTCAGTTTCTCTCTCCCATTTCTTCTCTCCCACCCTCTTGCCCTCCAGCCCCGCTCCCACCCCACCGCCATCGTCTGTCCAGTCTGTGTTCCTCTTACCGAGACTGGATTTTATTTACTTGCCTCCAGGTAGTACAGCCCCTCGACCAAAGTAACCAGGCCCCCTCCCTAAGCCCAGCACTTAAAGAGGGCCCTGCTCCGGCCCTGAGCAGCTGGACCCCTCCCCACAGGGCAAGGAGTCCCTGGGACCAAGGCACCCCTGCTCAGACACGACAGACCGGGGATTCCTGCCCAGACAGCCTGGGCCCACTCAGGGCCTGCGTGGGGCTCTTTTGGGTGGGGGTCTCCTTGCTCTGCTGCGCTCACTTGGCATGTTCTGGCTGCCCCTGTCTGGCACCCCATGCCCCCTCTTCCCTTGCCCTTACAAAATGTCTGAGATTTCGGCGTTAAGTCATATAAGTGACATCGCGTGTGTGTGTGTGTGGGGGGCGTTCTCTGTAAACAACAGTATCCGGAGCCCTCCAGCCTGGAACTGTGATCAAAGTGCGGAGTACCCACGCCCCCTAGAATGAGAAATGATTGTGGAGGTTCACCTGTGGGGAGAAGGTGAGTCCCTTCAAAGCTCTCTTCTGGTTCTCCTGAATTTGTCAAGGAGAAACTGGTTCTGAAACACTAATTTTAACATTTCACTGGCACTTGCGGTTCTTCCTGTTAAACAAAGCGGGATGAGGTCTCCATGCACAGCCTTAGCCAGTGCTAGCATCTAGGGTGATGGTAACACCACCCTGCATTTGGGGGTGTAATTACCTTTACTTTATGGAGACCTTGTCTTTAGGTCAAGAGGTTTTCATTTATGGTAGTGATAAAAAGCTACCTATAAAAATTGTTGTAACTGTTGTGGAATTGTGCACCTGAAACCTGTTAACCAGGGTTACCCCAATAAATTCAATAAAAAGGGAAAACATTGGGGTAAAATACACACACAACATAAAATTTGCCATCGTCACCATTTTTAAGTGGCATTAAGCACATTCGTATGGTTGTGCAACCATCTCCACCATCTGTCTCCAGAACTCTTCATCTTGTAAAACAAATACTCTGTACCCATTAAACAACTTCCCAATGCCCCCTCCTTCAGTCCACCATTCTATTTTCTGTTTCTATGAGTGGAATTACACAGCATTTGTCCTTTGTGACTGGCTTATTTCACTTAGCATAATGTCCTCCAGGTCCATCCATGTTGTAGCATGTCAGATAATTTTTCCTTTTTAATTTTTTTTAATCCTCACTGGAGGATATGTGTTTTTTCCATTGCATTTTCAGAGAGAGTGGAAAAAAGAGAGAGAGACAGAGAGAGAGAAACATTGATTGGCTGACTCCCGCACATGCCTCCATCAGGGCTGGGAATCGAGCCTGCAGGTACATGCCCTTGACTGTAAATCGAACCCAAGACCCTTCAGTCTGCAGGCCGACGCTCTAACCACTGAGCCAAACTGGCCAGGAATGTTTTTCCTTTGTAAGGATGAATATATTCCATTGTATGTATATACCACGTTTTGTTTATCCATCTACCGATGAACACTTGGCTTGCTTCCACCTTTTGGCTATTGTGAATGCTATAAACATGGGTGTACAAATACCTCTTTGAGACACTGATTTAAATTTTTTGCATAAATACCCAGAAGTGGTAGTTCTACGTTTAATTTTTTGAGGAACCACCTTACCATTTTCCATAGTGGCTACACCATTTTACATTCCTACCAACAGAACATAACAGTTTCAATTTCTCCACATCCATGCCAAAACTTTGGACAAAACTCCCTTTTAAAACATTTATTTAAGTGAAAAAAACGAAGTCAGAAGTCTTAAGTGAATAAAAGCACAGGTGGTGCTTGGCTATATGGCAGATCTTGTGAAGGACACATGCTGAGGTCAGAATCAGGCCCATGCTGGCCTGGGAATGAGCTGCCTAGGAGCCATTCTCTCCATGGGGCCATTTCTCTGACTCCACCACACATGAGTCTCCCCTGCCTCTACTCCCAACTCCCAGCTCATAAGAAATCCCAGGTCCCTAGCTGTAAGCCCCCGCTGAAATTCCCCTTCTCTGCAGAGCTCCAGTGGGCCCAGCTGCCAGCCTCCCAGCTCCAGGTCCTGGTAAGGGCTTCCTTCCTTCAGGAGTCGATCTGCCTCCTCTGGAGCAATGTTGACCTTCGCAGGGCAATGAAAACCTGTAACCTCT